GTGTGAGGCGCACTGGGGGGGGGGCGGGGGGGAGATGAGGGCCATCGGCATGGCGTCCTGTCTCTCGCAAACGTGTGACCCTCCCAGAAATTTTATTAGCCAGACACCCCCCCCCCCCCGGTGAGGCGCAGTGCGGAGACTGGCTGGCCCCAGGTAGCCCGCTGACACTTAAGTGCTCTTAACGAGTAATTAATTGGCTGCTTATTTCCGCGCTAACATGTTGCGTTAGCCTTGTCCCTCATACCGATGGTGTCTGTCTCCCATGATGCCCTTGACGTCTCTCCAGGTGTGTCTCCTCCCTGAAAGCACGTTGCTGGAAAAGCATAACAGAAACCTTTGCCCTGCCCTCACCAGCACCCCCTCGTGACTCCTACGTGTATATTCAGCCCCTCCTGGTGTGGACCACCAGCAGATGAGCTCGTTGCCCCGTTCTCTCCCCCCTATTAAAGGACGAAATCTACTTAGTGCGTTGGCGAGCCGATCCCGGCTGAGCCGCGTAATCTTTATGTAATAGAGTGTGAATGCGGCGGGCCAGTAAATCAGCTCCTCATCAGTGCACTTCATTAAATATAGAGAGCAACACATAGCTTTTAGTATATTCAATTTAGCGGCTGACGCGGACTTATAAAGATAGATTGAGTAATCAGGGGGGGGGAGGATGCCACCAAGGAGACAGAGATGGGGTCCGTGTGTGTGTGGGGGGGGGGGGGGGGGGGGGGGTATGGGCATTTCTGTAGATTGTCTCGCTTTTAGGTTGGGGGTATGGGTTTTGCCACCGTACAGGAATCTGGCCCCCCACCCTCCTGGCTTTGGGGTTGCCCTTACAAAGATGCAGCAGCAGTAATAATGACTGATTCAGATATTCAGTTTATGCTTTGGGGTGCATCAGAGTTCCTTGAAATGATTTGTCAGTCCGCCTGAGGGGGGCGCTGCTGGGTCGATTATGTTGTTACTAAAGCAGCGACCCGGTCAGGTTTTCCGTGTGAGGGGTTTATTAATCTATCCACCTGCACCTATCACCAAATTTATCTATAAAACTGCCTGTATGACCACATATTATATTATTATTTTTATTATTATCATCATTATTATTATTATTATTATTATTTCTGTAATTTTCTTTGTGATATTGAACTTATTTTGCACCTAAACATAAGGAATCATTACTGTACTGTGATTGCAATAGTAATTTCAGTT